GGAGATGGTTGTGCGTGAAAATCCCAGTAGATCAGCAGTTTTTTAAATAATCAGACCAGCCTGTCTGGCACCAACAACCATGCCACGTTCAAAGTCACTTAAATCCCCTATCTTCCCTATTCTGATGCTATGTTTGAACTTCAACAAGTCATCTTCACCATGTCTAGATGCCTAACTGCAGTTGCTGCCATGAACTTGGCTGATTAGCAATTTGTGTTACTAACCAATTGAACCTAATAAAGTGGCCGATGAGTGTATAACCACCATGAGACTGATTTACTAAAAGCAAATAGACTGTGCAGTTGACTGAGCAGTTGCTGCAGAGCTTAGTAAATGAGCAGAAGCTCTGCTGACTTCCATCATCCAATCATGTGCCAGCAACAATGCTGTTATTTTTATTTTCCTTGCATGTGATTGGGTATTCTTTGCAAGTGAAGCTTTACTTCATTTACTAAGCTTTGGAGCAACTGCTTGCAGAGTGCAAGGTCTATTTGCCTTTGGTAAATCAACCTCTATGTGTACTCTCTGATAGCACAACCAATCTTAATATATCATGAATATCAAAGTGCATAAAACACCAAAAACAAAAGGATCTATAAGTTCATAGATGCATGCACAAATCGATCTGTGATATCTTCATGAACTTGATCAATATTCTTATTCTAATATATGTGCAATTTAGTGAATTACACCATAGTTTAGCATTTGTGGAACTGATGACATCCGTTTGGCCATTTCTTGTTATTACAAATAAAGATTGACTATTGGTCTTTTAACATATTGTATGTTTTATACTTTTTTCCCCTCAAAGTCCCATGGGGTTTCTCTGACCTTCTGGTTGTATCTTTTCTGTATTATCTATAGGGATGTTAGCAGCAGTTACTTATTTGGTGTTGTTTTGGCTTACTGTCAGTTTCATGTAATACATGTAGTAATTACCTGTTCCCCTTTCTCTTTCCCCTTTCTGTGAGCCTAATTTATTTTTCACAGCAGTTATTTTCTCTTGCCCTATCCAATGGGGGAATATCAGGGAAAAGAGTGGGATGAATTAATTTCCAATCTTCAGCAAGATTTTGGGCAAAATGAATCTGTTGAATCAGAGATTTCCGCAATTATTTTCAATTTTCGTCATATTTTTAGAGAAAAAATTCTCTTTTGTTTTGGCATATCAGACCTTTTTTTAGAGTTACCGAAAGGAAGGAATCAACCCCTTTGGGTTGAGGGTACAAATATTTCCAACCTTTGAAAGTGTGGATATGACTTTCAGAGATGCATGGGAAAAGAATCTAAAACAATGTTCGGACAACATGACAACATGATGATGCTGCTTATTCAGGAATATCAAAAACATTTAAACGATTTGGATAAGAAAATTAATGACATTCATACACAAATGACCTCTTTTAGAACACACACTTCATTCTCTGACGCAGAAGCAAAGTTAAAAAACCATTTAGAAAAATTCAACAAAGACATTCTTGTCAAAAAGGACAAAAAATTCCAATGAGAAAAAAGGGCTTTCCAAGATGAGAAGGTCTACAAATGGCAACAGACAGAACGAGGCTTCAGAGGGCAGGGTGATCACATCAGAACTACTACTAGATCTGCTGCACCTGATTCACCTGTTTTCTCATCTATATCTTCCTCTTCTTCACAGTTTTCTACACATCATTGCAACAACAGATGGGAAAAACATTGCTGTCATCGTGATGGGCCACATAATTACTCCTCCTCCTGTCACACACATATACACCACTCATGCATGTGAGTGCAATAGTATGCATCAGGGGAAGACTGACCATTTGGAAACTCGGGCACTGCCCGAGGGCCTGGGGTCAGTAGGGGGCCCCATGAGATGCCCCTGGTACCTTTTTCATAGGCTTTTTTGAGTTTGGGCAAGGACACAGGGGCCCCATGATCCCCTATTGCCCGGGGGCCCCTTGAGTTGTCAGTCCGCCCCTGGTATGCATACAATGTAACGCTAGCTGACCCTGGCTGGGAGGGGAGCTTACAGACCCTGACACTATCTTATGTCTCTAGTTGCAGTAATACAGTGATCAGTGAAAAATGCTATATATTGACACTGTACTAATGGCACTGGCTGGGTGACAGGGTGATCAAAGGGTTAATAAGGTTGATCAAAGGGTTAAATGTCGTAATCTTGTGTAAAATATAGTGCATTGTGGGCAAGTGGTTTATAAATTTTTTTCTTAATTTCTCTCAATGTTTTATTTTTTTTAAACATTCTTTTTATTTTATTTTATTATTTTTTTTAAATACTTTCATCAGAGTAGTACAATGGATTTTTTTTTTACACTTTGCATTGTAGGAGCAATAAAGATTATTTCTCTGCAATGCAATGTTTGATTTGAACGTGAGGGTGAAGGGTTGCGTGCCCACTCGGGCATACAGTGCCCCTCCTGTGTTGCTACAACACCAGAGACGTACGGGTATGTCGCTGGTCTTGTAGCTGACGCCCGTTAGCAATACATTGCAGGCAGGCGGACGGAAAGTGGTTAAACAACAGTGGTTAATGCATTCAAAATAAAGAGAAATGTGTTTTAGGCCGGTTTACACCAGTGTGATTTCTAATGCAACTTGAGTCACACAGAATCACATGACATTAATGCAATACAACTGTGATATGGGTTTGTTCTGTGCTAAATTGCTGTAATGTATTGGGATTTTGTGGCTCATAGACTTCAATGGAAATGTTTCAAAAACACATGTATATGAGTTTTTTTAAGTGATTTTGTTGTGTTTGTCTATTTCCCTCCTTTCCAGGACCTTGTGCTGTTGTCAGATGAGAGGTAGTAGTTCATGCCACCAAAATGCACAGCTGTTAAATTGCATCAAAATCGCACTTTAATCACAACAACATCACACATCTCGCTTAATGTAGAATTGCACCTTAAATCACATTCAAAACGAATCACACTAGTGTGAACAAAGCCTTAATTATAGTACAGAATTTGTTGCCCTTAAAGCAGAACTTCATTCTCTCAGTCAAAATTTAAAATTTTTAGTCGTTATGCTGCAAGCATTTGTAAATAGATAGAAGATATATCATATTACATGTTTTTAACCACTTCCCGCCCGGGCTATAGTCAAATGATGGCCGGGCGAACCTCTCGTCCCTCCGGGAGGGCATCATATGATGTCCTTCCCGGATCGTGCTTTGCACGTGCCCACAGGGCTGCGCTGTGGCGAGATCTGTGTACCTCGGACACGGTTGATGACAGCTCTGTGTACCTGCCCCGTTGCCGATACCATGTAACCTGCTATGACCAATCACAGCAGGTCACATGACAGTTGTATACAATGGATGGCTTCCTTTCATGCCATCCATTGTATACTAGTGTGTCGAGCTGTTAATGGTCAAAATGATCACATGCACAGGCTGGGCCAGTCACAGCCCTTCTGTGTCATGTGATTAGCCATGGCCAATCACAGCTAATCACAACAAAAAAAGCTGAATGATTTGATTTCATTCAGTTAAATGCTTGCTTATAGCAAAGAAATTCTTTGCTATAAGCAATCAAATTGCGTAAAAAAAAGAAATAAAAAATTTAAATTTCTTCATTTTCTGAAAAATTATGACAAAAAGATCACAACTTCAAAAAACTCACCATGCCTCTTAGGAAATACACCGGACTGTCTAATTTGCAATAAGGGGTAATTTGGGGAATTTCTGTACTGTTCTGACATTTTTGGGCCTCAAGAAATAAGATTGGCCTTCAGTATGTCAGGATTTATCAATTTGCAGATATATACCATAGTTTGTCAACTCTATAACTTTCCTACAGACTAAAAAATAAACAGATTTCAGTTATCTTCACCAAAGAAATGTAGCAGAATACATCCTAAATTTATAAAGAACAATTATTTATTTGCAAACTTTTATAACAGAAACGAAGAAGCGTGGGGTTTTTTTTTCAGAATTTTCGGGGGTTTTTTTTTTTTAATTTAGCAAAAAATAAAAACCCCAGTGGTGATTAAATACCACCAAAAGAAAGCTCTAGGTGTATGAACAAAATGATAAAATTTTAGTTTGGGTACAGTGTTGCATGACTGCGCAATTTTTATTCAAAATGCGAGAGCGCTGAAACCTGAAAATTGGCCTGGGCAGGAAGTGGATAAAAGTGCCAGGTATTGAAGTGGTTAAACATTTTTTTGTACATATCTTCAGTTATTTCCTGGTTTCCAGGCCTAGGGAAATGATGTTACACATCCCAGGAGTCTTCAAGAGGGGAGAAGGGCTTTTCTCAGATAAGCACAGTGGTGTATTTAGGTTTTGTGCTGCCCTAAGCAACACAAAAATTGACCACTGCCTCCACCCCCTCACTTCCCTGCCCCAGTGGTACCGACCCCCCCCCCGACCTCCCCCCCCCCCCCGACAAACATTGCCTCGCAGTAAATACACTCCTGCTCTCCACCAAGTATAGACCCCCTCCTCACCAGGTAGAGTCCCGCCTCAGTACAGACCTCCCCCCTCCCTGAGTGCAGACCTAATTCCCCTCTAAGTATAGATCCCCCCTTCCTTCAGTATAGACCCCAGTTCCACTAAGTACAGACCCTTCTCCATCATTATAGGCCCCCTTCTCTCAGTACAGGCCCCCCTCCACTTTGGCTATTAGGGAGGTGGGGGGGTCGGATATGTGTTGGGGGGGTGCTTTGGGAGGGGATAGGGCTTGTGCTCTTATGTGGGGTCAGATCCGAAACCAGCTTCTAGCATAGATATTCTCCCCTCCCACCAAAGTGACCCCCCAGCACATATCCTTTTAACCTCCCAATCACTCATTTTGGTAACTACCCCCTTCCCGGTCACTCTGTCCCCCTTCTTTGCCCAGGAACAATATAAGAAAATCCGTACAGACTACAGATCAGCACAGACATGCACAGCGCTGTCTCTCCTCCTCCCCCCTCGTACATGTAGACAGCAGAGCAGAGGGAGGTGGCTTCGGTGTGCTCTACTGGGAGCAGGGGCGGACTGACAACTCATGGGGCCCCCAGGCAATAGGAGATCATGGGGCCCCTGTGTCCTTGCCAAAACTAAAAAAAGCCTATGAAAAAGGTACCAGGGGCATCTTATGGGGCCCCCTACTGACCCCGGGCCCTCGGGCAGTGCCCGAGTTTCCAAATGGTCAGTCCGCCCCTGGCTGGGAGCTAGCAGGGGGCAGAGTTGCGGATCAGTGTAGCTGGTGCGGTGTCAGCTCCAGTGCCCCTGCCCATGGACCCTGCTTCAGTCCACCTCCCCATTGCACCGCAAACGGCCGTGGTTTTGGATTTGACATGAGCAGAGCTGAGCACCGGCTGCTCCCAGTCCCAGCACTCAGATCACTCTGTGTCCTGTGTCATTTCTGCCGGGGGGAAGGGGGGCATGCCGTTCCCCTGAAAAATTCCGCCCTAGGCAAACGCCTTGTTTGCCTCACGATAAATATGCCCCTAGATAAGCACATCCTTCTGTCTGCATGCTTGAGCCAAGGGCAGATAGATTCCAGGAAGTAAAGGCTACAGGAATAATCTACCCTACTCAAGACTGTTACAGCCAGATATGCTTGGAGGTGTTTTTCAAAGCAGTTTCTCAACAAAATAAAGCATGAAGGCATGGATGAATGGGTGAGTTTGATTTGAATATTAAAAATGAATATTTTTGGTGCTCAAATGCAGTATAGTTCCGCTTTAAAGTTCAGTTGGAGGATTATAGAAAGCAGAAATTGTAGTGGCAAGGAATGGTGGCAACCCAAAAGAATGTCTAAAATGTCTAAATTCTCACCTTTTATATAATATAATTTACTTTAACCTGTACTAAAATAAACTAGGATTTTTTTTGTAGGCACCTGCATGGTTTAGGTGATATATATATATTGCCTAAAGAAGACACTCCACCTACACAAAGAAGAAGAGAGAAGACACAGGACTGGCAATTTACATGACCATGGATATCGGTGATTAAAAGGGGCATGTAGTTAGTGTTTTTCCCACACACTACCAATGCCTCCTCTCCCTCCACAGAGTACCAATACCCCCACCTCCCCCCATAGACAATCAGTGCCCCTCACTCCCTCCAGAGCATAGCATTGCTTCCCTCTTTCTCAACGAAGTAGCGGACATGCCCTTCCCATCCATCCCCTTGTTGTTGAATGACAGATTTCCTGTTGACAGCTGTAATGTTAACAAATGGGTTGGGTGGTGGCTAATTGGACAGTGATGCCAGCCATCCATCCTACACCCCTTTGTGCGTCATGATTGTTAGGATGCCAGCAAAACACAGCACTCTTAACAACCAGGTGCCCTGTGGAGGCTGACATAATTTGTAGCATTAGTGATACCACTACTAAATATAATTTTCCAGCACAGCTGGAGGTTTGGGGGCTCCACAAACTGTTGAATATTACATTTAGTTTGAAAGGGGAACTCTGAACAAACAAAATTTGGACCAAACATCGGTTTTGTTTAAATCTGAAGTCCATCTTTATTGACCACCTATGTCAGACGCTTATTTCTCTTTCTTGCAGACACCAGCCATCTTTTCCTCCTGCTAACCAGCAATATAAGTAGCACTATTACATACAGGGATTTATTTGCTAAAGCTGGAGAGTGCAAAACCAGGCTCCCTTCTGCAAAGAAACCAATCAGCTTCCAGGTTTTATTGCCAAAGCTTAATTGAACAAGCTGAGGTTAGAAGCTAATTGGTTTCTGTGCAGAAGTGAGCCTGATTTTGCACTCTCCAGCTTTAGTAAATAAACCCTACAGTATACTGCAAGCTATTGGCAAGCTGTAATATAATAAATGTTTGCTTTTGGGCTTAATACCACTTTAAATTCTGTTTTATTTTTTTAAAGCTGATCTTTTAGGTTTATGTGTATTTACTGTGGTACTATAGTTAAAGGGTATTTTGTGGGTACAAGGACTGCAGCGTATGTTTGCAGTGTGAAAGTAAAAGGGGAAGACTCCTTCTCCCAATAAAAGTATTTTATTGATAAAGGGTAGAGTGTGCAAGTTACAGAAGCGTACATGTTTTGGTAAAAAACCTTATTCATAGCCATCATGTATGCAGTATGTACTATATATGCAGTGTGTACTGCAAGTAGACTTAGACGAAAATTAAATTGGAGTTCCACTCACACTGTAAAAAAAAATAAAAGTCAGCAGCTACAAAAGCTGTAGCTGTTGACTTTTAAAAGACAGCCACTCACCTATCCCTCAGTCCCACGGTGCCCCCACCGCAGCCCGTTTTACCAGCTGTCCTGTATTCCAGGAGGCCGGCATCTTCAGTATGGGCACCTGACTGTGACAGCTTGAAGCTTCACAGCCGGGTGCCCACTGCTCATGTGCGAGTAGCACTGCGCTTCCTGAATGGCCCCGTCATCTTCTGGGACCTGTCACGTGTCCCACAAGACTACGGGGAGGGAGGGTAGGAGGACAACCTCCGCTTACAATCGCCTAGGCAATCGCAGCAGAAGTGGGAGTGGGTACCTGTCAAATTTTGGGTACCTGTTCCCCAAAGGTGCCAATCCTTTATGGGCAGCGGCGAACCAATCTTTAAAGCGGAACTTCCCCTTTTGGGTGGAACTCCGCTTTAACCATGTTCCCCTATTCTACATCGAATAACCAGAACACTTTAGCTACATTCATTTTTCAATGCATGTCTTCTCCTTTTTCAGGTTTGTCCTTCTTTCTCAGCTTATGATATTGGGAGATATGGGTGTGTACTTGTGAATGTTGCAGTGTATCTTAACCACTTGCCACCCACCCACTGTAATTATACTGCAGGCAGGCAGCATGAGCAGGCTAGACATGTACATCTAGCTTGCTTCAGTTCACTGTATAAGCAATAATAATAAACAATCCCTTAGCACCCCACAGAGTAGTACACTGAACTTCTCTGATGACAGGATGTAAAAAGAAAGAAAAAAGGTTAAAAAAAACAATAAAAGTATTAAAAAATGTAAAAAAAAAAAAAATTCTGATTACTGCTACAGCAGTCATATGATGCGCAGTACTGCACTGGTGACAGTATGTAAAATTTTTTTTAAAAAAAAAACTAATTGTATTTAACCTCCCTGGCGGTATTCCTGAGTGTAGCCCAGGGTTAATTATCAGTGCCAAAAGCAGTAACCCCGTGCTACACTCGGGAATACCCTGCAGTGTTGCTCTGGGATTCCCTTGATAACTTGCCTTGTTCTGCGCTCCCTCGATGTGTCCCCTGCAGCGTCCCCGGCCATCTCCTCCGGCCAATGCTGGCATCCGTCTTCCGGGTTTCGGTCCCTGCGAGTGTCGGGTCGTACGGGGGCTGGAACCAGCGGGAAATGTAAAAATTTTAAAAAGTGACATTCACTAAATACACTAAAATCACATAGTAAAACATTACTGTTTCAAAGAATTTCACATACATTTTGTCCCTACTGCTTTGTCCTGTGCCCTGTCTGCATTTTTTTACTGTTCTTTCTGCCTGGAAACTGAGAAAAGTCCAAGGCGTCCAAAAAGCGTCCCTTTATATCAAAAAGGCCAGCTAGAATACAGCAACAGTATATCAGAACCACTTGCAGAATTGAATGCTAATGATTCGTGGGGAAATTCGTCATCAGACACTGAAAACGATTTTGCAACTAACCTCAGTGATGTACGAACTTGGCGCTATATTTCATATTTCAGTGTTTTTGGTTTGATTATATTATTGAATTAAATGTATTATTATATTATTATTTTTTTATGATTATTTATTATATTATAATTTATGATTTTGTGTTTCAAATTTTATCATACCCGGGATGTTTACTAGACTCTTGCTTGGACAGATTTCAGTGAGTTATTCCTAAAAATTACAGGCCTACAATAAAAAATGACATATTTCCACGCAAAAAATTTACTGCTTTCAGCACAGAAATATGGACATAATCATACCACTAGGGAGGTTAACTACTTGCCGCCCAGCCACTGTACATATACGGCAGCAGGGCGGCACTCGCAGGCTAAACCACGTTTTAAAACGTGTGTTTTGTAAACAAATAGGGGGTGCGCGCAAGGTGCGCCGCCACCCTATCTGTCCCGCGGATCACCACCGCAGATGTCAGTCGCCGGGTCACAGCCGCTCCTTAGCGGCTATGTCCCGGCGATCGGCGGCAAACAGTGACAGAGAGCACAGCTGCAGTAGCTGTGCTGTCTGTCACTTCCCTGTCAGCTCGAGGATGAGCTGATCGAGAAAGAACAGTTTCTCTTTCTCGATCAGCCTTGTCCCGCCAAGTACACACCCCCGCCCCCTAGTAAAACACTCCCCTCACTCCTATAACCCTTCCCTGCAAAATAAAGTTAACCCCTTCCTCCCCATTGCCATTAGTACAGTGTCAGTGTTTTTTTTTTTTTGCACTGATCACTGTATTAGTGTTTTTGGGGACGTCAGTGACCCCAAGTCAGTACCCCCAATGTCAGAATGTCTGCCGCAGTCCCGCCATAAGTCGCTTGTCGCTGCCATAAGTCCCTGATCGCCGCCATAATTTGAGTTTACTATATATTTTTTATAGCTGAAAGTAAAAAATATTGTTTTTCTTAAAAATGTTTGGCCTTTTTTTGTTTATAGCGTGAAAAATAAAAAGCGCACATGTGGTCAAATTACACCGAAAGAAAGCTCTATTTGTGTGAAAAAAAGGACGTAAATTTCGTTTGGGTGCAGCATTGCATGACCGCGCAATTATCAGTTGAATTAGTGCAGCGCCGAGTGGCAAAAAGAGGCCTGGTCATTAAGGGGGGTAAATCCTCTGGAGCTCAAGTGGTTAATGTCTTAATTTTTTCAAAAAATTGTGACAAAAAATTACAGCTTTAAAAAACTGCAATGCCTCTTCCTAATTATCTCCAACTATTTACTTTCCAAAAAGCGGTCATTTGGAGGTATTTACACTGTCCTGGCGTTTTAGGGCCTCAAGTAATGAGATAGGCTTTCAGTACACCAGGAGTGATCAATTTTCAATTATATATGCCATAGTTTGTAGATGCTATAACTTTCACACAAACCAATTAATTTTATTGTATTTATTTATTACAGGTACTTATATAGTGTCGTGAATTTACGCAGCACTTTACATATATATATAGTACAATCACATCAATCTCTGACCC